CCCCTGCGCCACTCGGGGCCGGCGCCTTAGCCTGTTATCCGGGCTTCGAGTGCCACCTATCTGTCTGGCCCACGAATGCGCCCCTGGTCGCCGCCACTTGCTCTGCACTCCAGCCCCCTCCCGGGTTCCGGAACTTGGGCGCTTCATGGCTAAGGAGCCACCTCCCCCTACCCCAGTCTGCACTCTGCTCCCCCCCACCCCCCACCCCGCGCCCATCCTCCGCTTCGGAAGAAGCAGCCCTCCTCTCTTTCCTGAATATCATTTTCACTCCTGTTTGGGCCCCAGATGAGAAAAACAGTTCTTCCCTCCTCTGGGTTTACAAAGAAAGTTAGGAAACGCAGGGAAGGGATCCTTGCTCATAATTCTCTCGCCAAGCCCCTTGGAAAGAAAAAAAAAGGAAAAAAAAAAAAAAACAGTGTCCTATAAACCCCTACCTCGGACCCCGCCCGGCAGGAGATAACCTGAATTCCTGATGGGTAAAGAAAACCGCCTTTCCAATACACCCCAAATCCTTTCCCCGACGCACCCTTCCTTTGCCCGGATGCTCGCTCTCTTTCCAACTCTAGACGTCTACAGGGACAAAGGGCACGGCTCTGCATGGGGATCGGCTCCCGCAGCCCGCAGGCCCGAGTGACTTGGAGATTTGTAGATATAGGGTGACGAATGCGGGTGCTGGCCGGAGCCCTCTGGCCCCCGCCCGTCGGGAAGGTCGGCTCCAAGCCTGGCTGCGCCCTGGCGTCTGAGACCCGCGGAGAGGAGGGGGTGGGTCGCCTTTTGCTGCGCTTTGAGCCGCGGGGAAAGGCGTCCGGGTGCCTGCTGACCTCCCGGCGCTAATTGCCGGGGCCGAAGGGCGCGCTGGGGAAGAGGCAGGGGTCACGACCCTGCGCTGCCTGCTCTCGGGTTCCAGCAACCCCGAAGGAGCCGGGTGTGTGCTTGCGAGCGGGCGTATGTGCACGCGCGCAACAGTAGAGCCTCTATCTTGGCTGTCCTGGGACCCACCCTTTCTTTGTGGGAAAAATTCCCGGTCGTGTA